CAGCGTTTTTATGTTTTTAGAAATTTTAAAAAACGTTTTAAAAAATTCTCTCCGTTTGGTTTGTTATAGTATATTATATCTTTATTTTTATGTAATGCGTATAACATCTATATGCATTTAAACTTGTTTTTCTTTGTTTTCTAGAAAACAGGATAAGATTTAAAAAAAAAATTGTGTATGCAAAAGGTTTTGAACCCAAGCGAAGCACTTCAATCGCTTTGGAATGCTATATCATCTTTTTACACTATTTAATAAACAGAAAACTTATTAAACTTTAAAAAACAACATTTAATGCTTTAAAATAAAGAGATATTGTCGCAATGAAATTTTTAAGTAAAAATAAATCGGTAGAATTTGATGTCATCTACTTCATAATAATACTGATTGATAATTAAAGAACTTAAAGTTTACATATTTAGATAATTGAATAGACTTTCGTTCACATTGTTAAAAAACAAATCATAACGGATTGTGGTTCCGAAAAAAAAGGTTAATACACTACCATCTGTAATTATTGGAAAGGTCATATTTTTTAATATCAAATATATCAAAGTTTGGCGAAAAAGTGAAAACAATGTCTACCTGAATTATATGTTATCTTCCTATTTATTAGGTTTACAAATAAAACTTCCCTGATTAGTTTATAATTTATTCAAAACCCTGATTAGCTTTTAATTTATTTGCATATTAATCACCCTTAACAACAATAACCACCATAAATATATTCTTAGCATTCTACTTAACGACTTATCTAATTAGTCTATTTTGTCACTAAGTTTTTTCAAAAAAAAAAAATACACATGTATTAACTGTATATCAATTTATTTATCTATTTAATTTAATATATATATAATATATAATTTAATATATATAATTTAATCTAATTAATATAATTGAAATACTACTAATCAATTTACTGTTTTTTTCTATAGCATTGTTAAAAATGGTTATATTCTGAAAGGTAAAGAAATTTATTGAAAAGAAAGTTGCACAAAAGAAAAAAAAAACTAAATAAAAGTTGCTTGTTTCAAAAAACGTTTTACGAAGAGTTTTTCCAAACAATTTTATTTTTAATTGCGTTTTTTTTTTTAATTACGTCATAAGCATATTAAGGCGTTTTGAAAAACAGTTGCTGTATATATTTATAGTAAAAAAGTTAATGTAGCAAAATAAACTTTTAATTGCCAAAAGAAAGTTTTAAAGTTTTATCTAGCTACAGGCTTTTTTTTTTTTTTTTTGCCTCCACAGCAGCATCTTCTGAAGTAGCAGGGCTGTCTTGTTAAGTTTTTTCTTTATTAAGTTTCAGACAACTTTTTTTTCAGACCATCCGCAGCTTATTAGGACTAATTACATGAGCACATTAATAACATAAGTGTCTCAATTATCATAGATACGCAACATATTTTTTCTCCTAGTGATGTTTTTTTTTTTTTTTAAATGTTTTATGAAGTTTTAGCTTTCTTAAAATCTTTTCTTTTGTGAGTGCATAACATCGTTACATATGTTTGTATATAATCTTTATAAAACTTCGAAAGTATTTTGTATTTTAAAATAATTAAAAAAATTAAAAAAAATAGCCGCCATTGGTAGGAGTCGAACCTCTAGCTCCTTGTTCAGAAGTTCGCCGCCTTATCCACTCGAGCTACACCGGCATATCATTATGTGTAGATTTTATAATAATGTAGTAATTTTTTTAAGGAAAAAATTGTTAGATCAAAATTAAGGAGAGGTTGACACAATGTAATTTTCAAGTAAAAATCAAACTGTAAAACATAATAAATGTTTCAGTATGTTTTAACATTTGCTTTAACCTTACTTAGTTTAAAGTTTACGTACGTTAGATATTCGTTCACGTATTCTTATAGTGCTGCGACTCTTTCTTGCCAATACCTCGGTTGGAATGGCTGCCAAGGGTTTCGTGTCAAATACGCTCCAAGGGACACTACTATTAAGTTTGGCAATATTATATAGAAGATGCGCAATTTACCAAAACATATACGATAAGTAAATATTACATTTTGATTTTTTTATAGTAATAACTGTCGTGAAAAATTATTGGTTTATTAATATAATCTGCTTGGCTCTTAATTTTAATTTTTAAGAAACAACCATTTTGATAATACTTATCCTATTATTTAAAAACTTTTAAAAATATGAAATCCTCAAAATACTTTTTTTTGATTTTTCAAAGGATACACTTTCTTTTTTTTTTTGGATTGGGGGCGCCAAACCTTGATCTCGCATATACTAAAAAAAATCCTTGAAGCGGCCCTGTATAATTTTAATTAATTTTGTAATTTCTAATATATATATATATGTATATATATATATATATATATATATATATATATATATATATATATATATATATATATATATATATATATATATATATATATATATATACATTTATATATATATATATATATATATATATATATATATATATATATATATATATATATATATATATATGTATATATATACTTATAGTTCGTGAAGATGCTCGACCTGCCTCAGCAGGGTAAGTTGAGCAATCAATAAATAAATAAAAATGCATGGTACGAAATTTAGGTAAATCATCAATAAAACTTTTACTAGCAGTAAGCGTCTGTATAATTTATAAATTTTTTATTTTGTACACTTGAACGACGTAAGTAAGAGAAGAGAAAAGATCATATATGAATAAAGCTTCACATAATATTAAACTACTATTTTATACATTTATCTTAAACTTTGAAGCCTGATTTAAAAATTACTAATTTTTAAATCAGGCTTCAAAAATATGTATAAATAATATACCGCTAAATTATTTTTTATCCAAGTTGTTTATGTTTGATAGTTCAGTTTTATTTATTTTTTTAAAGATGCTCAACTTACCCATACTAGACAAGTTGCCACATTAATTTGATTTTAAAGAAACTGTAAAAATTAGGAAAAAACGACTAATTTTAATCTAAAATCTGACAAATTGGTAAAATATTAGTACTCAAGTGATGGCAGATTAAAAAATTTATAAGCATCTAAGAGAAAAATATTGAATTTTTTTTTTAACTTTTTTATTCGAAAATTAAAAAGTGCCCGTATATCTTACCCAACTGATTTCAAGCAATATTTTGTTGCGCATTGTATTAACATTCCACCTCCCTAACTTTCATCCATCAGATGTTTTATCATGTGATGCGTATTTTTTGAGATATTTTAATTTCCTAGCTTACACTTATGCTCAACTAGCCCCGCTCTACCCAACAGCAAGTTGTGTTGCTAAATAGACTAGCTAAATAGGTACTCCAAGTTGTGTGTCTGGAAAAAAGTTGCTGCATATGGGGCAACATGAAAAAATGTACTACAAGTTGTGTGACTTACAAAAAGATTGGACGTCTTATAGTCTGGATGTCCGAGAGACGTATTATGGGCGTCTCCAGGAAAACGCGTGCCCACTGGGGTGTGCAAAAAAGTACCACACGCAGTGTGACTTGCAAAATAGGTCACTCAAATGGTGTGACTTGCAAAATAGATACCGCAAATGGGTTGACTCGAAAAACGTCTCTGACTTACGTTCTCGCTGTTTTTGTTGTTGACAATTGACTATTATTTAGTTTCATTACTGGAATTTCAAAATTTAAACATTTTCTAAAAGCCAGGACAAATTCGGTACAGTTTGTTTGTTAGAATAATGTAATTAAAACAATTTTTTTAGTTTGGAGGGGGTTAAAATGCCATTACTTATGGAGGGTTTTTTTGTTTGTTTTAGATTTAAGGAGGGGGATGAAGAAAAGCACACAACCTTCCGTTCTCCGAAAAATTATTACTTAGATGCAGCTTGTAAAGTAGTAAAGTATTTTTTTATATTAATCTCTCTCGTTGTAAATGATCACATTTAGAATCATTTTTTTTTTGTTTTCTATGTTTTAGATTTGAGGGGAGGAGGGGAAGAAGATGGGGTAAGAAGCGCACACCTCTTTGAAAAATGATTACAATCATATTTACAGTGTGATTGTATAGATAACATTTAGATTTTAGAGCTTCACAATTTAGATTTGCTTCATGGCCCCGAGCCAGCTTGGAACGGCCTTGTATGAAAATATTTATAAAAATCATAGGCATCGAGTAAACAAAAGTCGAAAAAAATGAAAATTAAATACATAAAACTTTAAGAGAGTAAATAAAAAACTAGGTAATAATTATGATAATAACTATTGTTATTAAATGAACAAACAAAAATTAAAGATTGAAAAGTTAAATTGAATAAAATGATATAAGGGTTTCGAGATTTTCACTCGAGTAAGTTAAATTTTAGTCGAATAGTAGAAAGTCTATAGTCGATTAAATCGACAACTTGATTTTTCAAAGTCGGCTAATTTCGACTTTTTTGAAAAATCGGCTTTTTTTTCGATTTAGTCGAAGTCGATAACAACACTAATAAAAAAACACCTATCATATATGATCACTGGTAAAAAAAACACCTATCATACATACAAGTTGGTATAATACCTATCATATATACCAAGTTGGTGGTGGTCTAAAATTAAGTTACAATAACTTTTTATAAATAAAAATTACTAAATTGACCAAAAAAAGACGCTTTTCTGGGGAAGAAATATGCATTTTAAATGGTGGTTTGGCACCCCCTAGACCCTTCGATACGCCCAATGTATAGAGACTATTATAAATTTGTAGCTCATTGTTACATCTATCTTTTGATACCAAGTTCTAGGTATTTAGAAAAGAATTGACAAAGTTATAACAATTTTAGTAAAGAAAAAGTAAATTTTGACTACAATTTCTTGAAGAAATTCCATTTATCAAAAATTTTCTACTAAAAACCACGTAACTTTTTGTAGAAATGTTCAATTTTAATAGTTATAACTTTAAAATACTGTATTTAAGGGCTTTCTAGTATTTAATCTTTTTAAAATTTTTATGTCACTTATTTTGTTTTCAGGAGTGTAAATAAATGCTTTTAGGAAAAATCTATTAAAAATGGTTTCTCAACTTACTGTAAACGAAATGAAAACATTCCAAATGCAGCAACAAAAACCATTTCATAAGATATTTTATATTACTTTTTTAGTTTTACTGTACAAAGCTTCTTTCGTCTTGCAATCTAAAAACAATTTTTAAAATGGTATAAAAACAATAGCTGCATGTAAAAAGTTTTGCATTCCAGTAGTTTTATGGACATATTTATGAAAAAAATAAGTTTAATGAATAAAATAAATAACTGTTAACTATAAAAAAAATTTAGTTATAAAAGAAACTGTTTTATTTTCATTACTTCTTTTTTCAATTTTTTCTTTCGAAGCGATTACTTGATCAAAATGTAAAATACAATGATGCGCATTAGCACACATGTAGATTTAATTAAATTTTTTGAAAGCAATTTTTTGAAAGCTTAACCTGTTGTATAAATAACTTATGTTAATACTGTAATGACTTAATCTATTGAAATATAATTCTGCAACTAGGCAACCAGCGCAGATCAACATATTTTTAGGGTGGAAAACCGCAACAACATCAAAAAAAATTTCAGAACTGTATATACCACCATTTGATTCAAATAAGTAAATGAATTTTTTGCAACTTAATTATCGCTAAATATGTAAATCTTTCATAAAATAGCAGAATATTGTTAAAATTACGTTAAAATGAAGCATTTGATACCTTTGTTTGTTTTTTACGTTAAAATAAACCATTTAATACCTACACTTGTTTTTTTAAGTTTTAGTAATGTTTAAGCTTTGAATCAATTGTCTATCTATCCATGAAATAAAGAGAAGGAATTAAATCTATGGAAACAAACTATATTAGCTATATCAAACTTTTTAGTGTTTATGTCAAAACACTAAAAAGGCAAAAAATTAATGTGTTTTATAAAAAAAAATTACGTTCATTCCCTTCATCTAGATATTTTGAATAACTCCTGAAAATTTAAAATATATTACCTGACGATATTATGATGCAAGTCATACTAAGTATCGTTAAAATACAATTCTGAGAAAATTAGAAAAATAAAATACAAAAGCATAAAATATATTACCTGACGATATTATGATGCAAGTCATACTAAGTATCGTTAAAATACAATTCTGAGAAAATAAGAAAAATAAAATACAAAAGCATAAAAAATTTCAAATCCACCAGATAAATAAGATGAAGTTTCTTTTGCATAATTTTTCTTTTTTTAACTTTGACATCATCTTTTTAAAACATGTCAAAAAAACACTTCGTATCTTTCTGATGAAATCCCAATGAACTTTTTCAGTCAAATTTTACATTAATAAACTTGCAAACCTTGTTAATACCGTGTGTACCATCATTGAAGTAAAGTATTGCAGATCTAAGACCCACTTCAAGCAAAGATCTTGTAACAAAAATATTTTCGAACATCGATACCATAGTATGTTATTATGTCCATCATTACAATTTTGTGTCTCTCCATCAATACATTTTTCAATAAGTGAATCATCTGATAAGTTATCAAATCTTTCTTTATAACATCATAAGTCAATATCAGAATATTTACTTTAGGCTTATAATTATCAATTCTTTCTTCAAAAGTTTTTCATCTTCACTAACTATATAATTTTTTAGGACATATTATATGACGCTGCAATTTGTCTGGAAAGTTAATAGAATCCAAGCCGGCATTTGGTCCTAAAAAAACGTCTTTTGAACATTCAATAGACGTCTTTTTAGGACCAAATGCCGGCTGGAATGATTAAGAACAGCTCTTATACCTTTTTTCATTCGATATATTATTTCATCAACGTTTAATTTTTTATTGTTTGCAGTTTCTCTCATCACCATACCAAAGTAATTTTGAATAGTGTTTATAAAACTATTTCAACACGTGCTAACTGTTTTCCACAATTATTTTCTTTTTTTTGCTCTCTTAAAAAATTTTCCACACGCTTTTGTATATGAAAAACATATTCACGTTTTTACGTTTCAACGCTATTTTTACAATATGGCTTACTATTAACAACATCACTGAACAATGGAGAATCGCCATCACTCATATAGTACTTATAAATAAATCCATAGTAATTTACAGATCTAGATATTATTTCAACTGCACCCATATCTTCCTTCAGCTACTGAAGATTTATATTGATTCACATAAAATTTATAAATAAGAAACCCCTGGTGGAGGGGTTTATTAATAATTTCATTATTAAGAAACCCCTCCCTTGCCCCCCTCTTTTCTAATTTTTTATATATTAATTAAAGTTAAAATTAAAGTTATATTTTAAAAATGATATTTTAAAAATTAAAAAAAAAAACAGCAAAAATTGGCCTGAAAAATTAGAAAACAATTATTTCAATCACCGAATTATTTCAAAGTTACGATAAAACAGCTGTTAGAAAATGCGCACTTGACCGTTAGCCATGCTAGAATTGTTTTATTCTTGTTTTGTAAAAAATTTGATTTATAACCTATAAAATATCAATACACCCCCCCCTACTTTTTTTTCAGATTTTTTATTAAACCCCTTTTATTAACCCCTTTTCCCCCTGTTTACTAGATTGAAAAAATTTCCCACCCCTCCTCCCTTGTATTAAGGACTCGAGAGTACATAGGATGATTCTCTTTGTTTTTCCATATTTGACATCCCTGTAATATTTACTAAGTACTGCAAAGTAAATGCCACTCCCTTCGCTTATAGCTACTACTCCTATAAAAGAACTATGGTTTCGTTTTTGCCACATGCCATCAATAGAAACTATAAACAAAGCTTCTCCAGTAGATATTTTATTTTTTGAAATATTTTTAATTTTATATACAGCCTTTTTTATAGATTTTTATGATGCATTATTGAATGCATTTTTGATCATACATGACATGACAAGAATAATCTTTTAAAGCCTCGTGTCCTTTACCTATTTCTTGAAAAGCTATTATAACTTTAAAGTTCAAGTCCTATAAATTTCTTCCTAACTTTGAATTACTTTTATAAAGTTCATTTGAAGTGTATCTATTAAACTTATGTTTACATCTTTTGCAACTAATAATTACTTTGTGGGAAAACCCCATTCCAAGTGTGGAATCATCATTAATAATTAAGTTAACGGGTGTTCACTTGAAATCCGGACTGACTTTAAAAGGTCATAACTCCCTTATTTTTTATCAACTTAAAAAAATAAAATATGATTTAAAATCAGCATTTAATTCTCTATAATATGATACTTTATTTATTTTCAATTAAACTTTTTCTTCTTATAGAATCAATTCTTGATAAAATACCCTTTGCAAACTCTTGTACAAGATTGATATCAACTTGCTGATATCAACAAGCTGCTGCAATAAACTATCCTTTTCCTTAGTTGTTCTAAATTTTCTGCTTGCCAATTATCCTTGTAAACTAAACCTTTTATTATTGACCAAAAATCCTCAATAGGTCTTGCTTCTAGTACATTTGCAGGGTTATCTTCTTTTGGTACAAATCTGACGTTTTGTCCATTTAAATATGCTTGAACAGATTTAGCATAATGAGACGTCGCCAGATCTGGCCAAAATACGAATTGACTGTCTTGATGATGCTCTTTAATAAAAGGAATAAGACGTTTCTTAATACAATCTTCTTAGTAGATTTTTTGATTGATTGCAAGACCACTTTGACGGATTAGAATTTTTGACATTCGTTTTACAGAAAAGTAAATTTTCAAATTTCAAATTCAAATTCTACCCAGACCAGGAGTTTGGGTTCATACTTTCGCTTTGTATAATATTTGACACTAGATGGGCAGAGGTTTATGTCACTTGTGTAGAAGTTATCGTTTCCGTTGATTGATGAATGAGAAAAAGTAAAATAAGATTCATCATCAATGATCCAATCAAATTTGCTAAAAGCTCGATATAATCTACCACACTTTGTTTTTGCCATCAGTTTTTGATCATCAGTTTGATGTGGAATCTTTTTCTTCTTTCTTTTCTTGATCTTTGATTTTGTCTGAATAATTTTATGGGCATAAGACGTTGATATTCTAAATTTTCTACCTGCTTTCCTATAAGAAACGCCATCATAATGATCAAACATTGATTTTAACGCTTGTACTTTTTTTTGGGTCATTTTTAGAGCTTTTTTTCCTGAACCAGGACGTCTAAGATATCCAGAATCGTCATCAGCACGTTTAATTATATCATAGATGGTCGATCTGGCAACTTTTTCTTTTTCAAAATGATCTACGGTGTACTTTGTTCCTCTTTTCTTTATTTTCAATATAGAAATTGTACACACGTTTTCGAGTGTCGTCTTGTTTAGGTTTCATTTTCAATTTGAATAATCAGTCAATCTAAATATAAATGTAGCATATTAAAGCTAAATTTAAACGCTTTAAAATAATGTATCACATGGTAAAATTGCAATACATTATGTCAGATTTATATTGACTTAAAGTCAGTCCGGATTTCAATTGAACACCCGTTACTTTCACAATTTGGACATTCACAAAATTTCTCAATGATACCTTTAAGAATTTTAAAGATAAAAATGATGTAGTAACTGTTTTCAGTGTTTGAATTTTGGCTAAACTTCAGATTTTTAGAACTTGCACAGAATGATTGAAGTGGTGTTTGACTCTTGTTTTCAGCAAAATTTTTTGAAAGCCCATTAAATCTTCATTTTCTTTATCGTTCATTGTTTTTTTTTTTATTTTCCATTAAACATATATGTATATATATATATATATATATATATATATATATATATATATATATATATATATATATATATATATATATATATATATATATATATATATATATATATATATATATATATATATATATTCTTTATTATAGATCATGAATATCAAACAAAGCATTCGTTGATTAACTATTAGGTACCAAAAACTTTGTTAAAATAATCCGAATTCTAAATAACATACCGAGAGCCACATTTGTGAAACTCATTTTTCCCAAATAATATTAAAACTACAGTTTCAATTCAAAATTTTAAAAGTATTTAAAAAAAAACAGTTACTTAATTAAGATATATCTCAAATTCTATTTTATTTTTAATTTTTAATTTATTCTCTTTAATTTTTCAACATTTCTTTTTGTTAAAAAGCGAAATTACTCTTTACATCGTTACTTTTTTTTTCCACCGCGAACGGACGTGTTTTAAGAGCTTATTAAAAAAATTATAATAATGGTGAAAAACTTTACACCAGCACAACTTAAAGAAATCCTTGAAAATCGCGAGAATACTTTGATGAAAATTTTTAATGATTGAATTGAAAAAATGGAAACTAAATTTAATAACTTAAAAGATAAAAACTTTACGTTAAAAAAAGTATTATCTGAGGCACAGAAAGCTGTCGAATTTATAAGTAAAAGCTATGATAAAATAATAAT